TGTAGCCTAGGGGCCTCTGTGCACCTTAATCCGCCCCTGGTGATACATTAGACTTAGTTAAAAGGTAAAGTACCTGGTTTTAAGCCAAGATTCCCCAACAGAAACCTCTCTCTGCACAGGTCCTACATGGTGGCTTATAATCTGCTATGATTAGTCAATCAAGCTTATTACTCCACGTCAATTAATCCTCCTCTAACATGGAGACTCACGCTTTACTTATAAACTAGAAACCTCTTCACAGCTAATATAGTCCTAAAATGATCATTTCCTTACACTGGAACCATGTTAATCCAAGGAATAAAAGCAGGTTAATGCCAGGTTACTGCATGTAAAAGCGGAATTTAGATATCCCAGCTGCACTCCTGTCATTTTATTTGGTTAATTTTGCAGCAACTTTCATTTCTGTCTGGTCTCAGTATCCCCTAAAGGAGATGGAGCTCACCGTAATGCAACGTGAAGCCACGACAGACACGCGCTTCTCTGCTGAAGCCGCGGCAGACACGCGCTTCTCTCCTGAAGCCGCGACAGACACGCGCTTCTCTGCTGAAGCCGCGACAGCCCCGCGCTTCTCTCCGGAAGCCGCGACAGACACGCGCTTCTCTGCTGAAGCCGCGACAGACACGCGCTTCTCTCCTGAAGCCGCGACAGACACGCGCTTCTCTGCTGAAGCCGCGACAGACACGCGCTTCTCTCCTGAAGCCGTGGCAGACAGGTGCTTCTCTCCTGTCGTCCCCACCACCATGACAAAACGGCGCAGGCAGGCCGAGGGATCAAAAGGGCAATGATGAATCGCTTTAAGCTGAATGAACCACAAGGGTAGGATCCACTGTGCCAAGACCAGGGATATTTTTGTTTTGGAAAATCGAAAGCATTTACTGACCTTTATGTTGGTGCTTTATAATGTGATTTTTTTTAAGGCAGAATATTAAGATGTTGTCAAGCTTCAGCATGAAAATCCAGCCTCAAAAACAGAAAAGCATTTGCATATTTGGCAGACAATGTACAAAAAATGATCAGAAAGCAGGATCAGACAATGTCCCGGGAACAACTGGGCTTGGGGGCTTTGCTAATGGCCCCAATGATGGCATCAGTTTCCCAGCCACAGGATCACGGGCACAGAGTCGAAACCCGCAGAGCCTCACACTATCCTCTCATTACAAAAAAATCTAATTATAAAAGCTATTTCCAATTGTTTCCAACAGGTGATAACAGAAAACAAATCACAACATAATTCAATGACCTTGCTTCAACAACTCTGCAAAAATGCATGATAAACACTCCCTGCCGATGAGTGTATACTGTCATAAGCTCACATGCAGATGGGACTTAGCAATAATCAAGCAACCATGTTTAAGAAAGTCATCGTAGGTTACTGATCTTCATTGATATATCAGGTTTATGTTTGTTATAAATTACTATAATAAGTACAATATCATTAAAAAAAGGCATCGTGCCATTATATTTTAATATTAATGAACCCGTAGTAGATTAAACAATCTGTTACTGCTGCACAAAAATGAGATCATTAAAACAACAATGACAGAAGTAGCCAGGGAGTATTGTTCCCTGGGTAAAATAAAAATCATCCAAATTTGTACGGTTCATGCCTCACTAAGTGAGGAGACCTGAACAGAGCTGAGAGAAGCATCACAATGGTGTTTACCAGTTGCATCATGTTCAAAGTGAGACCTTGGTCAAGTCCCACTGGCACAGACGACCCCTGTATATCAGGAAGCCAGTGAAGTCGGTGATCCTGGCCATCCACACACTGGAGATGGGGGGGGGGGTTTCAGCTGGTGGACAAAGCAGAAGCACTCCACAGAAAGAGACACAAAGGAGAGCTTCATTCTGGCTGCCACCTCCAGTCCAGCGCTGCTCGCTTTGAACTGGCCAGTTGCGAGCTCTTATCTCCAGAAAGGGCCAAGCGAGGGAGCCACAGCGAGAAGGTCAGAGGTGTTCTCTCAGCTGAGCTGCAAGATCCTGCACGGTGGAGTCTAGCCTGCATTTCTCCCTCCCTTAGACTCCACCTCACCCTAGAAACCGTCACAATGCGTTCCTGTGATGGCTTTGTGATAAATGTCCCGACTAACACAACCTACAGAATGAAATAGAAATTATGTAAATTTCCTGAACTGGATAGATTCATTAATTAAGCTCACTGAACTAATCAGAAACCCATGAGATGAAAAGGAAAACAGATGGAGAAGAGGAACGAGAAATACATACCAAAATACAGATAAGAAGAAAGATTGAACTCGTCCTGTTGAGACTACTGAAATAAATGAAAGAATCTGAGGACAGATTACTCTGATTTCTGAGGGTACGGTCAGTAAAATTCCATGAAATTATTGACATTTTGTCCAAATTGGTCTCGTGCCATTATAATCATAATTATTCATAATCAAAAAGAAGATTCCGCAGCGAAGTGGCAGCTGGGGCCATCCTTAAATAGAATCCTAGAGGATTTTTGTCCAAAAGGTTGCCATGGAGATTGTTGGTGTAGCAGAACTTAAAAGTGCACGGACCATAAAGAATCACCAACTCAAGGCTCCATCCCGCAGACCAGAAATGTCAGTTCGGAGGCGTCATTGATGGCATTTAGGTGTCGGCTCCGGCTTTCTTGACACCACAATGAATTCATGTCAAAATCCCCATTAGAGCCGCAGTAACAGCTTTCTTTCTGCCTGAAAGGCAGAGCCGTCTCTGATAGCACTCTGTCTGCTCCGTCTGCCGACTGATGTGTCAATCAGACGAGTGCCAGGTGATCGATGTCAATGTGAAAACCTTGTGAGGCATTCAAAACATTCTCTTTTTAGAAACATTCTCTTTTTTTAATTATTGTGTAGCTAATGGAAGTACGATACCCACATACTGTATACACAAAGGCACACAGATGGAAATGCGCACTTAGTTTAAAAAATATTGTGCAGTGTTTTAAGAAATCCTCTACAATTTAAAACAAACAAAAAAAAAAACAATAATAAAAATACAAATAAGCCGTTATGGCAGTTTCCTACACTGCAGGGGTTTTTTGCTTTAATTTTATTTTATTTTACCACAGCCCCACTGCTGACACATTTGCACATTTTCTATCAACTCTGTTGAAGAAGTGCAGAAATATTCCAGTATCGTATTTGCAAAAATGGATGAGTCTTGGCTGTGATCTGCCATTTCAATGTGATGCAAATGTTACTGTAAACAGAAATAAATCTTGTATACCTCTATGCTGCATGAAAGAACAGAAAAACGGATCATATTTGCTGACAGAAAGCTGTCATTCACAGGCATGGATTCAGGAGTACAGATCTGTATAAGTGTGTTACTTTTAATTAAAATATGTACAAGTCCGTTCTGCCAGACTACCATCCATTAGAATGAAAACCTCAACAGATCTGTCCACACCATTAACATAACACTAGGGCTGCATTGATTTAGTAACCTCAGTGTTTAATTTCCTAAAGAACTGGTCATACAATTAAAAACCAGGGCTGACGGAGCGATAGCCTCATTATCCAAAAATGTCGTCTCAGACAAAGGGTGTCACGGCCCAGCAACCTCATTACCCAGCCTGCCTGCCACCAACTCTCAAACGTCACGTACAAAACACCTCGCAGAACCTGGTTGATGGAGTTCAGAAAGGACATCATGACCACCCTCACTCACCAGCTGAAGGATGAGTGGCAGATCACCTCTATGTAACTCTTGACAACCGGACTCTTCCAGCTCACCCAGCATGGATGAAGACTCACAGAATGTTCCCCAACAGGAATTTGGAGGGAACAAAGTACAGCATCCAGACTTACTACCCAGTATTTCGTAGTAGAGTCAGAGCTTGTGGTGAAACGGTTCACTTAAGTAGGAAGTAGTTAATTTCAGAATCAAAATGTGTTGTAGATGGTTAGCTAACTACCCTAGTTTCAGTTCCTATCTGCTGATTTTAAACTGAGTTCATTCCTGTCTCCCTTACTAACCTTATAGCTCCCACAGTGGCCAATCATTTGTAGTCTGCTCTCTATTTTCACAGCATCATCCTGAAGGACAAAGACACTATACATCCACTCTCGTCATTATTTTCCCAATGAATGATAAAAACGAACAAGGTAATGTATTTAAACTTTCCTATCCAAAGGAGAAATTCATTTTTAATCAAGGGCGTGCATTTCAATTAGGCACACATACAGGTTATTAATGAAACAGCATTCATTTTTGCAATATTAAATTTATATTTACATTTCATTAAATTATTCTGATTGTGCAGCGATTATAAAGCAATTATATCGTGTTGCCACTTTCATTGTCAATTTCGTACTATCGCATAACTGTGTGACAAATGCAGTTTTCAAATCACATCATGTTTGTCAGACAGAACTAAAAATCCAAGAAAAAGCTGCAATCTTAGCAGAACTTGCGACTGTGCTTTTCTGAGGGACAACAGTCAATATAGTGCTGGATACTGGAAGACTTTGACAGAGGAAGTGTAAGGTTGGGCCTGCTCATCTTTCATCGGAAGGCCTACTCTCTATGCCTGCTATTGTTCTATTCGTGCTGTTAGTTAATTAGCCTGTATTTATTGGCTAGTACTTTGAATTAGATGATTCAAATCACCTCCACGCAACATTATTGGGCTCTCGCTATAATTTCCAGTTATATTTCAGTCACGCTTCTTCTGAACAATGAACTAGGCTAACCGCAGGCTTGATTGATTGCTATGATCAATAGTAATTTAATCTATTTGATTTGTTTAAAAAAAGACACAAAGAATATTTTTTGCATCCCTAATGATCAAGTAATCATGAATTAATTAAATTAATCATGTTTTTTTAGATGAATTTATAATATAGCCTGCAATATTTATAAGATAGCTCACCCTTACCAAGAATAGGAATGATACCAAATACCAGACAGCAGTAAAAATATATTACATATTTGTTTATTTTTGTTTGTCTGCCAAATTATTTGATTATGGCAGCACTCATATAGATGTTGCCCAACGGATTCACCTCTTTCAGACTATGAAAAAACAGATGCATTTCTAAACATGACTGGACAGCTTAATAACAAACACAAAAAAAAAACAAATTACATTATACAAATTCATGAATCGTACAAAGGATCGGACGAGAGAAGCATATCCATAAATTATACATAATATTCCAGTAGAAATAAATGACCATATTATGAAACATAACATTACGAATTACTCAAATCACCAAGGCTGATCTGTGGCAGCTAAAGAAACAAAAACTATTTTGCAAAGTAAGCAAAACATAACAGGAAACACTTGGACAAGTCAAGCAGACCCTATAACGGCACACGAAGATTACTGCAGGATCCACAAGGACAAGCAGAGTACTGTAAATACAACAAAACCAGAATTACCATAAATGGCATATTTTACAATATACTTTTTAAACAAAGTGCAACAAGTTGAATCATCTATCAAAAGAGCCATGAGACAAAGAACCTAATAATAAAAACTGAAATTTTTTAAGTTTAAAGATGACCACTATTCCCTAAATCTGAATAGAGCTCAGGCTACAATTCTGGAAGCTTTTGTGATGTTTGTTTATGTCTCCAATTTACAAATATGATGAGATACTAGAACTGAACAATTACAAATTAATTTCTGCCTGCTGTGCTTTGGGCAATTTGGAAACATCAATTCACCTTATTGAGCATCTTTGGATTGTGGGAGTAAACTTTTGCACACACACACACACACCTGTACTCATACCTTTGTGGGGACATCCATTCATTTCTATAGGAAAATCCCTATTCCCAACAATGACAACCTTAACCCCTACTCCATAAGTATAACCATAAGTAACCAAACAAAATGCAAGTCTTATGGCATTTTTAGGTTTTGATTGCAATCAGAGTTTTATGAAATTGAATTTCCCCATGAGGGGACTGAAAAAGTGGTCCCCACAATGTAGTATATACCTGGACCACGGACACACACACACAGACACACACACAGAGGCAAATTCCACACATGAGGACAGGATTCAAACCATAGGTGGTTTGACACTCTATTTAGGGTGGCCGTTTTTTGTTTCAGCCATCCTGAAAAAAAACTTCTTCTAACACCAATTAGTGATTTGTCACTTATTTTCACATATGTTTCATAGCCCTCGCTCACCAAACTTCCTCTGTGCAAATACAAGTGTCGGGGACCCCCAGGGTTCAAGTCCAGTATTTCTTATGGACACTGAGAACCCCTAAGGCTCAAATCCTAAAATGTCCCCTGAATGAAGCCCTGTCACCCAGGGCAATAGTCCTACCCGCTGAAGCACTGTGTCACCCATTATTTTGTAACTTATACATTAAACATTCACATTTTTGCATTCTTAAAACTGAAGCCCACTCTGCAGTACTTGACAGTGATTTACATTTGTATAAGAGACGCTTGTGCCCAAAGTGACACAGAAACGAGAGAGAAGGGTTAGTCAGTCCCGAGAGAAACTGGAAATACAGGCCTTGCTCAAGGGCACAGTGACATCACTCAGCCAGCCCTGGGTTTTGAACTTGCAATTGTCAGATCACAGACGCAGAGTACTAACCACAGAGCCACACACTGCCTATGTTAATGCTGAGTTTAATACATATTCCATTCTACTTAGTAACAAGATCTGTACTATAGGCCTCTTCATAGCAGCATGGGAGTAAAATGAATAGTATACGGTATCTCAAAATATTCATCAAACTATAAGGTCTGGAATAAATCCAGCACAACACACAGCTACAAAGAAGCAGAGTTCAGATTTAAACTGCAGTACTGCTGAGCATTTATAATGATCAGCTGGTTTTGAGGCAGGACTAGCCTGCAGCCTCTGGCCTGACACTCTGGGGGATGGCAGTGAGATTCCAGGGCTGTGCAGATTACCCTACACTACAGTCACCCACGCACCGAGCATAGCACCTGCCCCGGCTGCTGGAGGGGAGGCCAATGACATCACAGTGGGGCATTTTCTATTTGTCAGCTGATTAAAGTCATCGTTTAGATAGATAGTGGCAGGGCCAGCTTTGGCAGGTGTGAGTAATTTACTGGCTGGGATAGACAATGCTATTTTCTATCCAAAGAATGATATTAATTAATTAGCTGAGTGGTGTATAGACTGCGCGGCCTTGAACAGCTTGAAGATTGGGCTCCCTTTTTGCCAGAGCAGTCTGGCTGGCTATAAGTAGGGCTTGTGTAATAGAAATAATGAAACTCCAAATGAATCCTAAAGATATTTGGGACAAAAAGATTAATTCACCACCTCAGAACAGCTGAACAACCGCAGCTAACCAACAATCATAATTACTGCATGGCATTTGGAAACTTCTGTGATGAATCCACCTGAACTGAAGCAGAATAAGGTGTAATATGTGTTTCCATGTAGCTGCTACAGTCCCATGAACTTAACATCCAGTGGTGTAGATTCACAGATTCTACTCATCCTTCACAGATTCTACCCATCCTTCACAGATTCTACTCATCCTTCACAGATTCTACCCATCCTTCACAGTTTCTACTCATCCTTCACAGATACGTTATAGGTGACGACCATATCATACTACTTTCGGTGCATAATATATATCATCATGCAGGTTAGCGTCACAGAGGGGCTCAGAGCAGAGCAGAGCACAAGGCGGGGGGGTAGACCCCGGAGAAGGGCCTATACAATTCCCACGAAATATCAGCAACTGATGTAGTACGGTAAAAAAGGTACCAACCTAGAACCAAGAAAAACCAAAATCTGCATCTAATCTGCTCACCTTGAAGCAGCGAGGTTGCCGTAGTTACCGTCTCCGGAACACTGTCTTTGCTGTAAATGGATTGCAGGAATTCTGGGACGCAGTCATTTTCATCCAGTATCAGTACCTGTACCTATTTAAAAAGGAAAAAAATGGAGGGGGGTGGGGGGTTAAAATACCAGTTTACCGGGGGCTTTTAAAATGCATTTGTATTTTTAATTGTTCATTTCGGCTGGCAGACAGGAAGGCAGGGACTTTGTACTGATTAGCGTCGTTTGTGAGAAACGCTGTTCTTACTACAGTCATACCTCGGCTCACGAACTTAATTTGTTCGAGGACCTGAAAAGTTTGCGACCTGAATCATTTTTTCCCATTTAAAATAACGTAAATACAAATAATTTGTTCATACCTCAGAACACTGATTTTTTTCATCTTTTATGTTTTTCTGTGACCAAGAATATACACTTAAATTAAAATAACCTTAAAGAGCAAAAGAGGGAAAGAGAGAACATACGTTTATGAAAGGTGGACCAACACACAACTGAGCATACGCCTGTTGGCAGGCTGGTCACTCGAAAGACGCCAAAACATGGGAAAGAACCACAAAACACCCCCTCAAAAAAACATTTTTTTTCTTTTTTCATATATTCGACCTCTGAAGAGATATAGTAAAGACATACATCTACAACAAGTTTTTCATACATTTCACAACCGTTCCTGGGCATAATGTACACTTCTTCCTGTTTTGGGTGGTTCTTTGGGGTGCTTTCAATGGACCCGTTTGGGGGATGTTTGTGTTCACAGCCTGAAACACGGTTCGCAAATCGGTACAAAAATTTTTAGAACATCTAGTTCGCAGCCCGATTTGTTCATGAACAGGACTGTTCGTGGGTCGAGGTACCGCTGTATGTTGCTGTTTCACCGCTAGCATTCCAATAACCCTACTGTGTCTCTTTTTTTTGCTTTTTGGGCGATAAGTAAATGTGAAATAAATTGTTCCCAGTTGATTTTCTTAATAAGATTCACAGCTAGTTCCCTCCCCCCCACTCTCATATCGAAGTGCGACTCAGTGAAGTGACAGTCGATTCGTTCTGCTCAATGAAACGTCTCCAGTGCGACGCAGGCATCGCCTCTGGAACATACGAAGACCCCTCGGCCCGGTGCGTTCCATTTGCACATCCCTGCTCCACACCTCCCCGCACGTTAAGGCACCAGTTTTTATTTTCCTTTGCAGTTGCGGAATGCACCCGGTCCACGAAGGCCCCAGGGAAGCGTGGGTAGGAGCTGTAAGTGGAACCCTCCGTTAGATGTGGAGGAGACTCACTCAACAGTGGGAATTGAGGAATTGAAATGAGATGTGAAAGCCGATTTAAAGTCGGCGGTATAATGGTGAAAAGGAACACTGAGATATGAGAGAAACTGCTTGACGTTGTTTAACCAGACAATGGACCAAGTGTCAGCCATTGGAGGACATGTTACTGATGACTGTGAACTATACATTTGACTAGAGCTGTTGCATATCTGTTCTGAAAGGGCAGAAGTACCTGATTAGGGGGGGAATGAGTGTAGGGAAGGTGACCGTGCACGCAGGCAGGGATCTTAATTTGTTTTGCTGATTTGTCCCCATCAGTGACACATCCACACGCTGCCACTGCCTGTTATCTGAGTTTTCAACTTGTCCTCGTCCCATTCCGTGACTTTCCAGGTACCGCATCATGCAATAATTTCCAGTTTCCCCAATCCAGTGTCACCTGCAGCCTTGGCAATGCCCCACGGCAAAGAGTCTTCCAAGCGATTTTATTAGCTTTGGTGCTTTGAGACACCAGATGATGGTGCTAGATGAGATGTGCTGGAATTAAACATTTACTGAATTTGTAAAGTTAACTTTATTCATTAGAGCTCCGAAGGCCCGGCCCAGACCAGTTGGGGCCGCTCACCCACCTCAGCGGCGCTGCTTAGGGTGTCCTGACTCTCGCTGGCTCGCACCAGCAGCAGGTACCGGTGCTGGTCACTTTCATAGTCAACGGTGCGGGTCAAGCTGATTTCGCCCGTGTCTGGTCTGATGGAGAAGAGGCTGCTGGGGTTGATGAGAAGGCTGTAGCTGAGCTTCTGTTGCTGGAAGGATGTAGCCGACACCGTGATGAACCTACCGTGGAAGACATCACGGCAGCTTTTAGCGGAGCAAAAGCCTCTGGCTGGAACTTACAGTCACTATTTCACAAAATGTTCCAGAAATCCTGAACCTGCAAAACTACAGGCAATGTATCTTAGACTTCCTGACACAGTAAAATGTAAGTGAAGGATACTTGGGATAGTAGCTAGAATAGCAATTAAGCATATGGACCTATACATAGTCTGATGTTCAAATCCCCAGTGAGGCTCTGCTATTGTGCTGTTAAGACTGTTAACATAAATAGCCCAGTAAAATATCCAGAATAGCCCAAACTGTAATTTGTGTTGTACAATGGCTTGGGAGATGAATGCATACATTTGCATAGTATTGATGGTACTGTATAGATATTGTATTGATGGTGGATAGTGATGAGTGAAGGAGATCAAGCCTCACTGCCTTTCGATTCTGCATGGACTCCCCATTCATCCTTTTCACAGAGCTATAGCAATTATATCACAAGACCGCTAAGCATTCCCGCTCGATAAAGGGAGCCGTGGATAGTTTAAGTTAGCCTACTGATGCCGACACACATGAGCAGAAATCCCTGATGCAGGGCCAGAGCTCCTGGACACAGTTAATTCAGAGCCTGTAAAAAACTGGGGATTAAACACAACACTAAAGACTCGCCCATGGACATGTCAGGTAAATCTCCGGCAGCGATGCATCAGCTTGTCAACACCAGATCTAATATAAATGGAAACTACAAGCTTTCCACTGAGACATTAAATCAAAAAAGACAGAGAGAGGAGACCAAATGATCCACAGAAAGAGAGAGGAGAGGGAGAGGGAGAGAAGCAGAACAGCCAATTGGGGGCCTGCACTAGCCCCTTCCCCCGGTGCGTTTTGGAGACAGAGCAGAGACAGATACTGCTATTATATTAAACTGACTACTCTGATTTCCCGTGCCTAGAATTATGAAACTTACTCCAGTTCTGCTGTAGACCCCATCTATAGAACAATGTAGATCCCAGACCCCAGCTAAAGAGCACTGTAGATTCCAGATACCACTATAAAGCACTGTACATCCCAGATCCTATCTACAGAACACTGTAGATCCCAGATCCCACCATAGAACACTGCAGATCTCAGATCCTACTGTAGAACACTGTGGATCCCAGATCCCACCATAGAACACTGCAGATCCCGGATCCTACTGTAGAACACTGTGGATCCCAGATCCCACCATAGAACACTGCAGATCCCAACTGTAAAACTGTGATGACACACCACTGCTATGAGTCAAAAGTGCCATTACCTAAATGTGCTCTGTGGTCCACACTAATGCTTCTGAAACCATTCCACAATTATGATTATAAAAGCACTCTTTTCTCATTTCCACCACTAACGACCAAGCCAATTAGCCATGTACCACTTTGAGGAATGCAGAATTAATATATTGTGTGTGCCCATAATGGAAAATCAATTCTGATAGCACTGGCGGAAGGAGTCGGGATGGGCGCCCCCCCCCTCAGGCCGCCAGCCCACTGTATGACCATCACATGCTACCACTGACACATAGACGGTGTAATAAATAGTGACTGGAACCTTTCCTGTGGGTACATTAAGTTCTTCAGAGTTTCAGTGGAAATTATTTCAGCACATTAGCAGCCAATAGCCAGACAGAGGAGGGCAGCCATATTGTTATTTCACTGAACTGGGACAGTGCTGTTCTGACTATATGAGGCTATGCATACATTTGAGAACAACATTTGCGTGTTTTTGCATGCAGAATTTAAAGATGTAAAGATGCATTATTTTAGCATTTGCACAGTGAAATTCTTTTAGTTTTCACATACTGTATCACATCTGGTTTTCCTTTGAAACACACAAAGGTAAGAATAAGCACAGGGTCAACCATTTATCTGCTGTCGCTGGAGCATTTTAGGGGACTAAGGGCCTTGCTCAAGGGCCCAACAGACACACAGCTATTCAGTCAAGCACAGGATTTGAACCAGCGACCTTCCAACCTCTGGTATAGAGGGTTAACTCACGGAGCTACACACCACATGTCAATCAGAAGGGGGAGCATCTGAGGGACGCCTGCTGCCCCAGGGTACTTACGGCTGGCCCTCGGCCGTGTTCTCAGCGATGAAGACGGAGTAGGAGGCGTTGGTGAACTGTGGTGCCCGGGGCCCCGCGATCACGGACAACAGGGCAGCCGGGCCGCGGATGCCCAGCTTGTCAGCCGCTACCACCGTGAGCAGGTACTCCCTGTCCTTCTGCAGCGGCAGCCCCGTCGTCCTCACCTGGCCGCTCCTCCTGTCTACTTCAAAGCGGCCGTCGCCCCCTGCAGGCAGGAGGACAGCGAGCACAGGCTGTTACACACATCCCCACTCCAGCTGTTGGCCTTGCCATTCTTTCCTACAGACTTCAAACAAAGTTTATCCTTAAACACTTCCTTCTAATAACCCTAAATCAGCCAGGCGAGGAGTGCATCCCTTTTTCTGCCCATATAGCTCAACGCATTCCTTGGAGACCCCCAGCAGCCCATTTTTTTGCTCCATCCCAGCTGCCAGCCGATCACAAACACCGAATACCTGGAACGGGAGTGTTGGAAGCTGGGAAGGAGCGAAAATGTGGACCGTCTGATGGTCCCCAAGGACTGCATTGAGAAACGCTGAGCTAGAAGGATGTGAACTTCGGAGTCAGCCCTGTTTATCCATATCTAATGAGACAAGACTCAGATGGACTTGCTCCTCACTTACTGCCATCTGAAACCCCACCCAGATGCTCTGAGTAAGCTCTAATGAAAGGAAATATCACACTCACTGGCTGTTTCTTCACTATCTTTTTAAGACTGGTGATAACTGGATGTATGTCTCCTAATCAGAGAATAAAGGATAATTGGACCAAACAAAACGATGCATTCACTGAAATTACTGACAGCCTTTCTCAGCAACGGAAATGAAATAGGGTAATAACACATCTAAAATGAAATTATTACATTAGCTGTCTTGCTGTTTCCTTCATTATTTAATGCTCCTTTGTTGCGCCCTTTTTTTGTAGAAAAACCACTTGCAATTATTTTCCAGCAGACGAATCAGGAGATGGCAGAACCTTTTGTTAGGGTTACCAGAGAAATGGGGAACATAAAAGGTTTTTGTTAACAGCATTGCACGATTTTGCACATTAATGGCAGTGTCGGAGTTTTTGAAACTCATATTACATTAGGGGCCATATGTGCAAGTCCACACGACAGGTACCATTAAGGTTGAATTAGGTCCAAATCACAACAAAGCATGTACCGTCAGACAGGAAGTATTCCACTTCCCCGTTGTTGCCCTCGTCGTCATCGCGTGCGTGCAGGTTGTAGACCAGCGTTCCAGGAGGGGCATCCGGAGAAACCACGGCCAGGTAGGGGGTGGGTGTCATGGTCCATTCGGGTGCATTGTCATTCACGTCTGTGACCATTACCTCAACGTGCACCAAATACCAGTCTGGACCTGAAGAAGACCGAAGAATGCACGCATATTTACTGGAAGTTTCTCTAAGCTTCTGTAAGCCACATTACCGTGGAAGATTATTGTTTTTATTATGCAAATTAAACCAATTATTTTTAGGTTAACTGTGCCTAAATGGATTATCGATTTAACTGCTCAGATAAACAAGCTTCTTTTATTAATCACCCGGTGAAATGACTTCAGCGAATAGACCGCATCTTAATAAGCAAGGCTTAGGCTTCTGCAAACTTCGGATGCGCTAGCAAGTTACCATCAGTGCAGTCTACCAAACACCTGCTATCGAAAGGGGACTGGGGCGGGGAGTTAGGATGATTCCTAGGGCCCCTATCACCCAATATGATACGCTTTCATGGGGCCCAAAATTTCTAGTGGCGCCTCGGCCGAAAGTTGCATAGTGCAGTAATTACATCACCACCCTAGGCAATGTAACAGGGACAGTGGGTGTTACATGTAATGAGGTGATCACTTCATCTGAGCCACACTGGGGGCAGGCATTCAGACGGCAGGGGGGGACCGTGGTACTCGTGCTCCCGCCACTCGAATCGCACAGGCTAGAGCTGACTAGCGTGCCTCACGCCCACAGGAATGAGTCACATGTCGGACGGCCATGAGGTGCTGGGATTATCGACAGGAGGTGGTCTGGTGGAAAGGCGCCGTCGTAATGATGCTGAATCAAAAGGTTCCTGCCGTCGCCCCGGTGACAGGAGGGCTGATGGCACATGTAGGACAGACAGTATTTAGACCCCTTTACTTTTGCACATTTTGATATGTTGCATCCTTAAGCTAAAAACATTTGCATCATTTTATACATGCACTGTACATAATACTTATATACATTTACACATGTACATCCACACATATACCCACACACAGACATTCAGGCACACACAGTCGTACACACATCACCTAGGAAACTCAAAGCCACCCAAATCACACACACCTCCCCCGCACTACGAGATGATTCTTAATTCATGGCAACAAAAAAGCAGTCACACCAAGAGAGGAAGGAGAGAGCGGGAAGGAAAAGTAGCAAGAAACAATCAGTGACTTGCCGAGAGCGATTAAGATAGCAGAGACTCAGAGAAGAAAAGTGCAGTTCACAAAGAGAGCAGCACCAGGTCGAAACAGCGGTCTGTACTTCAATTGAAAATACAGAAATAAACATCACCGCGTGTAAACTTAAGTCATTTTAAAGAAGCATCCTCGAGATTATACGAAACGCAGAACACCAAAAGGATTTTTAAATGATTCTTTCATTAATACTTTCTGATTTTCTCTTTGTTTGCAAAGATAGTTCTTGAATAAGGCATGCACAAGTCAGCTCTGAGAGAGAAGGAACAAGACAAAATCTCAGAGCAAGAGAGAGCATTAATCAGAATTTTCAACCACAAAGGTTGTCATGGAACAATTAAATTTTTCATACTTGTAAATGTTAAATATCTGAATGTTTCAGTCTTGCACGCCAATGTGAATATCCAAGATGCTGTTCGAAGTCTTTTATTAACCCTGGTCACTCTTCCCGGATATGATTTCATGTGAAAGGAAAGGGGCTGTTATTCAAAGCCCATTTTTGTCTTTATCGAAGCTTTAATATATTCTCTCTAACATTAAAATGATGATTAATTGAGTGTAACATTATATCTGAGTGCACACTAGTGAAGCTGAGGGGCCGCAGTACTGCTAAAGTAGGCAGATGACGCGGAAATCCAAAAACTGCGCAGTGGCATTAATGCTCGTTAGACAAGTGCTTAACTTTAATTGCTTTGGAAACTGGTAAAGTTATCTGCAAGTCTCTGTAAACAAGGCTGGTTAAATGATGGCAAAAGCAGATCAAAAGATTGGAAAATCGTCACAGAGATGACAGCCTGTTTTAGCACAACGTACAATTGATTCATTTGAAAATAAATAAGACTTTGGTCTGTATGTCAGATTTGTGCTTCTCTGTACTGATAGTAAAGTGGGTTCCAGACATCCGATAAGTGTGTGTCTTGCTGCTGTTGACAGTGAAAACATGATGGATGATTTTGTTTTTTTTTTTTCTCTTTGGCTTGAAAGAAATTTCATTTTGAAGTTTGCTCGCTGAACAGGCAAGCAACAGAGTGGGCTAATTAATTACTCTCACTGGGGATTATAGAAGTCTATCTGGATCTGCAGATAGCTTAGACGGAAGATGATGGCTTTTGTTTAGTCTCTTTTTTTTACTTTAAAATATCAATAACACAAAATGCTCACTCATAACCTTCTCCAAACCTTAAACGAGACAAAGCACGTTTAGTCAAAGAGCAACATCCTCCGATTTCCCGGTTTTCACAGATGAAAAACTCTCCATTGTGTTCGTTTCTCCTTTTCTCACGACCTGTCTGTTTCACTCGTTCTTTGCCGGTAATGCAGCACAGTCCAGTTAAAGGATCGGTCTGATTTCAGAAGCAGGGACAGTGAATTCTCTGCAGGAGCTGCAGAGGGTAAGACCAGCCTGCACATCCCACGACCTTGCTGAGGTTTTCTTCTGCTTCACACCATTTCAGCATCGCATTATCCCAGCCCCTGTTTCCCCATATGGGATTTTACATACTTATGACCTTGCCTCTGCTGTCCAAACTTTAAAAAGACACTCTTTCCTAACTTCACTTCCACCCACTATATGCTACATTTATCTCTCCTCTTTCCCTCAAATCACCATTGGCCTCACATACATCTATCATCATTTCACCACCAAACAAGGACATTACGTCATCACCACCATATAATGACACTGTCCACATTACATACAGGTAAAAGGGTAAATCAAAAAGGTAAGGTGCTGTGAATAGCCGACAGTCTGCTGCAAAGGTCAAACACGGTACTCAGTCTATACTTTTTCGATCATGATATAATCCTGAAGAACATCCTGTTATCAGCTGGTCAGAAGCGGCCGGACCATCTAGAGCATCAGTGTAATTTTGAGAATTTTTTCCAAAATAGAAGCAGACAAATGTTTGGAAAAGTATAGAAGGTACAATATTATCAAAGACCATTTATGCCATCTGTTCAAGACCATTAACAAACAACATTTTTTCTTGATTTAAAAGGAATGTAACAGAAGAACAACTGTCTTAATAGCAAACTGGCCCATCATAAACTGGCAGAAAATCTTGGCATATATTCTACGGGCATCTAGAATGCTATTGAAGTGATGCAACCCCAATATTCCACAAGAAATTCGCTCATTTGGTGTCTCGTTGATAGGGGTGGGAAATTGTGCCTCTGGCTCCATTCCAGAACCTCTTCCATGGGTTCAGTTCGATTGAACTGCTGACGGAGGCAGACTGTGGTCACTTCACTGCTCAGAGGATGGTTGGGCCCTATGTATGGGGGCATTAGAATCCATGAAAAGTCCACTCCACTTATAGAGACGCTTAGCTATGGGATGAATGTAGTCACCCAGAACGGCTTTATAGTTACTGACTTTTACCTTGAGATTGACTACAGTTTCATGTCATAAAGATATTGTAGAATGCAGCAGAACCATTGACTTTTAAAAATAAGCGCTCGAGTCTATAGGTTTATTTTAGCATGGGCTGTACTTGTGTCTGCTTTCTGAGTGTGGGGTGATGCTAAGTACTTAATCTATGAGTTTTTCCACTGCTTGGTACCATTATAAGTGTTCATTGTACCACTTTACTCAGAAAAAATGGATTTTTAGGTACATGAAGGCATTTATGCAACTCAGTCACGCTAACCCTACCTTTGAAATTCTTCACAGATGACACTTGATGAAACTGCCTGTTTATGTCTTAAACTGACATTTGCAGTCACCTGATTCAATGTTGCTCATCTGTTTCTCTTTGCATTTCAAAGCAATGCATGAATATCACAGTAGAAGAGTATGTGCTTTCCTCTACATTCCCCCTTCCATGATGATGTCTTTCCCTCACAATGTCTATTTATAAATGAACCATGATTTGACGTTATCTACTGAATTAACTCAACCACACCTGTTTTCCTAACCACCTGTACAGTTATACAAACTAACATTCATACCTTATTACACTAGCATGGCAATGACAATGCGTATTGCAACACACAATAGATATGTGTGAAGGAATTAATTTTCTGACCAGACTGAAGACTTAGAAGCTTAGATTATCCGATGTTTCCAGTATTTCTTTCTCTTATTTTCTTGTATAAAGAAAAAACTTTAGTCCAGATTGCATTAATCGCATTTTTAATACTGATTAAAAAATCTGAGATTTTTTTGGGTTCTGGCACTTCAGCTAATCTTCCATTTCTGATTAAAAGGAATGAGACTGAAATGTTTCTGATTAAAAAGAATATGATTTTTCAATACATTCAATTTAAATAAATCATGTATAAAAAGAATGGGACTAAATTCATGCATTGCTCATCTCTTCTCACCATCTTTGAATTCATTTCAAGCAGTATAAAGTGAATAAATAACGAGGAATAATGAGGAATATTGTTCAGATAACATGTATCTTGCTCTTTGGAATATGCCAGTCCTTCGGCCGCAGAAGCCAATATAAACACGTCTAACAGATGTCCAACGTCCTCCCAGCCGTGCATGTCACTCTGTCCCTTTGGCCCTTTGACTCCATAAGCATTCTTAGCTTGCATGGTCATGCACTATACAGCTCATAGTGCTGCTTAATCAAACTGACACTGCCCCATGCAGGTAATGTGAAACTAGCCAAAAACATACAGGTGACTGTTGGAGATGCACGTTCACTATGGCTACAAACCACATGCTAAGACATTACTCAACCCAACAGCCATTTGACTAGACAGTCCATTTTATTTAAGAAATTCATGCAAAGTTCCCAAAAGACACAGCTGGGATTGCAAACATGAACATCTTATAAATATCTGAGAATAAGGGAACAGATTTGGGCAAAAGGACGGTAAGGTCCTGTCCCTACCAATATTGTGGAACTACTGCATATGCGTGCAGAGGGTTGGCCAGAGCAGATTTGGTCCCTGCCACT